CCCCAAAACCCCAAAACCCCAAAACCCCTTTGATAGATGTTTAAATCAAATATTAGTTATAAATTCTAAGAATTCTTAAGTTAGAAATAATTAAATCGAGGTGAGTGGATGGATTAAGTATAATCAAATGTAGACATTATTTTCTCTTTTCTCTGCAATTTTCTTTTTTATATCTACTCTATTGACATTGATATTATCGATAATTGCTTTAAAATCTTTTAAGTATTGCTCGATAAAGTGAAGTTAAGCCTTAGCATATTCCTCTATAGATTATAAATGAAATTGTTTTCTTACTTCTCTTTTGGAACATGTTGAAGTTCTTTGGATCTTCCAAGTTCATCAAGCTATTCAGAGGGTACTTAAGAGCAGACTTATCCTTTCTATTAAGACATCTGTTTTCCAAGTTGTCAATAGCCATGAGAATTCTAGCCAGATCAGATACTTTACTGAGCTTCTTAGAGCTAGACTCCTCAGCTTCATTCTTAAGTTTGTTCTTCTGATCCTCAATCTACTCAAACTTCTACTGGAGATTGGCAATATCATTATTTAAAGACATGATTTCGGTCTTCATTTCTTTTTCATATTTGCTTACAGTGTTCTTCAAATCATCAAGGTTTTTCTCCAAATCTGAAAGATTTGAGGAAAGCTTAACATTTGAAGATTTTAGAGTCTTGTAACGAGATAAAATATCCTAGAGTTCCTGATACTCATCTGGGTTGCAATCTCTCACATTGTCCAAATATTGCTCGTACTTCTTCATAGCTTAGACTTTGAACTCAATACGCTTTGATTTCTCCTCTAATATCTTCAAGTATTCCTTCTTTTTCGATATTTCTCCATCTTTAAGATCAATACTCTATAGTTCTTATGATTAAGTAACTCATTAAGGAAAATATTTTTGTTGAGAAAGATTATTCGATAAAGTAAACTTACTTCTCTTTCATCCTTAATCTTTTGATCTGCTCTTTTCTTTTTCTTTTCATTGTCTTGCAAAAATGTACTGAACTTGATCATACCTCCTTATATTTCCAAATCTTTTTCTCTCAATTCTTTTTCTTGTTCTCTGAAGTAAGCCTCATTTCTAAATGTCAATTAGTTACAGAAGTTTCATCAATAGATAGAAATCAATTCATTCATGAAATAATCTCAACTTACTGTTTAAACTCCTTTTTCTTTTGCTCGTATTCCTCTTGCTTTTCATACATTAACCTTCTTTTCTCAAGTAGTCTAGTTGCTGGACTCACAGTATCAAGTTGATTAGCTACTGGTAGTTTAACGCTTTTCTTGGTCACTGGATTAATTATTTCTTTCTTTTCCATTTATTTTATTTCAAATATTTATAAAGCCTCACATCAATATGAAAAATCAATTGAGGGGTTTTGGGGTTTTGGGGTTTTGGGG